TTTAAGATTATAAATCTCAAACTGAAGTAAAAAAGTCTTCCACATTAAAATACTTTTAAAGCTTATGATTTTTATATTTTGTTTGTAATAGAAAACACCTGCCTCCCCAGCCAGTATATTTCAGTTTCTTAGTTTCCCAGGGAATAGTTCCTGTTCCAAATCCAGTTGCTTCTATCTCTTAGAAATGGCTGGTCACTCTGATGCATAGCTGGTCACTGCGATTGTATAAACCATCCAAATTGGCAAGCCATTCTGCCTATTTCCTGCTTGCTTATCCCATATAAGCTTTAGACCACAAGAAATAAGGGCCTGATATTTTGAGAGTGATCCCAATCCGTGCCTGTCAGCATAAAATAAATCTGTCTCCAAATCCTGGGTGTCGTTTCAGTGTTTGTGTTTGCTGTTGCATCTTTATTATGCAATCATTATTTAGATACTTCTGAGCCATGCACTTAAAAACTTCAGTTAGAATAAAATCTATGCTTTTTTAAAATTAGAAATCCTTAACTCTAATACACTGATGAAAAATCTTACATAAAAACAATAGATTTAATCATTCAACAAATATCATTGAATGCATATTACATGTAAATCCCATTTTAGGAATTAAGAATACAGCCTTGAAAAAGCCAGAGATAAAGTCTGTAACCATTTAAATTATTATTTAAAGTATATTTTAGGAATCAGTCAGTAGGCTAAAATTTAATATACACTGTTGTAAAAAATAAATCACCACATAAAGGTTTAGAAAGAACTAGAGACTAGGTGATTTTATTTCTGTGGTGTGGTTAATAAAGGTACGACTGACATTGAGTTTCCACTGTTGTATAATTTGAGTTTGGGGAAAGAAATGCGTTTGTAAGTAAATAGGGAGAATAGTACCTCTCAGTCATGTTGTACCGCCGTCATCAGGCAAGCTTCTCAGCTGATCAGTACACTTCCTGCTTTCCCTTGTATCTCTTTCTCGAACAGGATTTTCTAAAGGTCACAAGAAGTGGCCAGCACACTCTAATATCCTAAATTTTCTCTACCAACCACCAGAAAACCCTCACTTTTGTCTAAACATAGGTGATTCCATTAACAGTTGAACATTCCCAACCTTACTGCTGTGAAGGAAATGGGGAAATGGCATTGCCCCCATCCCATTCGGAACTCAGCCAATGAGAGGAGTAAGAAAGTGTAAGTGTGAAGAATGAAACAATGATTTAGTTTCAACCTTAGTTTATCTCCCAAGGTTTTTTTTTAAATCGTACTTCATACTAAGTTTCTCATTTAAAAACTAAGTCTCAACATTTTTCTCCATAATCCATCTGAATAATTTCTCATAAATTCATAAACTGTGGCTCTCTATAATGACAGAAACCCATTATAAGGGGAGGGAAGCATAACAAAATTTCTATGAAATGAAGCAGTATTATTTGGGGAAAAAACATTCCCCGAATACTCTCCCTTTGGTTGTTTTGCATGAAAATTACTGATAGGCCTCACTTACTATTTTACTGTTCCTTTGCATAATTTCAAAGCCTTGAGAAAAACTCATAAATTTGAAAGTTAGCAACTTAGTATTTGAGGTTAAGCTACCAACAACTCTATAGTTAGCACTAAGTGTAGTAATACCTGAGATACAAGCCAAAGAATTAAATATTTGCAAGTGTTAGCTCTATTCATTTCATATAAGCAATCAATGTCACCTACATATAAATATTACTTATACAATATAGGTCAAATCAGTACTAAACAGTAGTCCATCCAAATGTTTTATGTGGTGAATTTTAAGTAATACAATTCTACTGTAGGTTTACATTCTAGAATTTAGACTGTGAAATTCATGTTTTCCCTCCAAAATCAAGAAACTTCTATGGCAGCACCATCACCATAACCAAAACAAGGGCAATAAAAAAGATTTCCATGCATAGAATACTGTGTAGCTGTTAAAAGTCTTTAATGCACTGGACGTGGTGGTACACACCTGTAATCTCAGCACTTGGGAGGCTGAAGGAGGAAAAGCACCGTTGAATTTGAGACCAGCCTGGGCTACATAGTGATTTCAAGGCCAGCCTGGACTACACAGTGAGATCCTGTGTCAAAAATAAAACAAAGAAGTCTTTAATGCAAATTAAATATTATGTATCATTTTAACAGTAATTCTACCACTTTAAGTTTCAGTTATATCAGTTATGCTGGATAATTTAGGTTAAAGTTTATATAATAATCGTAGCTACCAAAAAAAAAAAAATCATAGCTACCAAATGTCTACTGAAAATGTGGATTAATCTACCTAAAAGGTGAATTAATACATGTCCAAATTTAAGGTGAATTTTGTGAACTTAGTCTTCCAAAAACTATTCCATGGGGGGAAAAGGAGTCATCTTTTATTTATGGCCTTACAAAACTTTTAGATTTTAAGTCATTCTCTAACTTGATTCATTGTCATATTATTTGGAGAAGTCATATCTTAAAACCCAAAATACCAATACAGAGTACTTATAAAGGTCCCCATATGATCAATTTAAGAAAAATAAAAAAGGAAACAAATTTAACACAGATTATTTACAAAGATTATTTCCGTTTGTGTAGTGTCTTACAATTTTAACTATTGTTATGAAGTCATTAAAATGATTTATTATATTTTTGACTGGGTTCTTTGATTAGAAAAAGAATATCCAGTGACAGGATCAAACATATTCAGAAACTGTGGTATATGAAATTTAACTCTGATGGATGAAAACCATGAGTTACATAAATCACTAAATGACTATAGTCACAAGACAAAAGGGAAAAAAATCATGTGAAACTCTTTGAGCTGAGAAATATTGTTTCTACCATAACTTCTTCAGCTCTGCTGGACTGATTACCCACATAACTAAAACTGAATACATTAGAGTTGAGTAAAAACCTTTTGGACCTTTCTGTTACAAAGAGAAGTGACCGTTGTGTATGTGAACATAGAGCACATGAACCTAGGGCGTATGTGTTATTTTTAAGACAAAAGATGTTACTGTACTCAATTTAATTGTAGTGCTCGCACTTTGCAATAAACAAGTGGGCTTTCAGTTGTGGTTTGGGTATTGCCTCTGAAAGGTCTGCCATTGCTCGCATAGAGGCTGGCTTTAGTGCTTACACTGACTCACAGAATAGTCCGAGAGGAAACAATACCACGCCATCTGGCTTACGCTTAAATGTTTTCAGTGTGGGAGCCCAGCAGTTCACTGACTCTTCAGATACTCCTTTTGTTCAGTTTTCCTGTGAATGCCTGAGACTTCCCTATTATCTTCGTCTTCATGCTGCGATAATTGCAGACATGCAGAACTCTGACCTCTTCATTATTTGAAGAAAGCTGATGTGTTCTGTTTTGCCCTGGCCACCAATCCTCTGTCCCCAAGACCTAACAACAACTCTCTGATGTTGAACAATAGATTGTATGAGAAGGGAAACTAAGAAACAGAAAACTTGCCAATTGTGTATTTTAAGTAAAAACCAATTACCAGTTACTGTACAGTAGCTTAAAACTTCTATGACTGAAGCATGTTTTTTTTTTTACTGCTGTAATATAAGTAGTGCAAAGAAGACACATTTGTTAAAAAAACAATGCACAAGAAAATAATTGCCGTGTTTTCAGTAGTTAAAATATCATTGTAGTTTATATGAAAACAGGTGTAGAGAAAGCTGAGGTTTGACTATAGGCCAGGTGTATTTGCAGGAATATAATTTGCTCATCTGTACTCAGTATCCTAAATCTGCCTAAAACACACATATATACCTATTCACATACATCGATCAATAATTCTACTGGACACTTACCCGTGTTTATTCATCTTCACTAAAAGCATAAAAACTGAAGAATTTTCAGAAATGTTTAAATATTTGTAATTAATTTCAACATCAAAGAAATAATTTTATAAAATTTCTGTCCAAATATTAAAACTTGTGTTGGCAGAAAGTAGCCAAGCAGTTTACACATTAGGATTCCAGATTCCCAAAAACAAGGCTTTTCTCTACGGTATCAAATGAAGAGATCAAGTAAATCTGATGTCAGTTAATATTTACACTGAGACTATGTGCCATTAAGTTCCAAATATGCCTTAATCTTTAAAATCAAATCTAGTAGGTGTTACTATTCTCCAACTGTAGTAGGAAAAAGGTTAAACTGGCCTACCCAACCTCAAACGGGTAAATGGAGCAAGTTTCCACCGGGCAGTGCTATCACAGCCTTATCCACACCGTGCAACACGGCCACTTAAGAGACAATGAGTTTTGATGTGCTCCCATATTTGTGAACAGGTGAACACGCTTTAGTATTCATGTCAGAAGAGACTTATCCTAACCAGCGAGTCAGCACAAGGTCCTAAGTTCGTAGGTTTGTTTTATGCTTGGACTATTATTCTTGTGCCAGTTACTTCCACTAAGAAACATGATCTCTGTATAAAATAAATCTAAAAACTAACATTGCATAAAGCTTTGTGTTTCATTACATACTCTTACCATTTGATCCACTTAAAAAGGCAGCTTTTTTGCTTTTATTGGCAGTGCGAGCATCAAACCTAGGCCACGCAAAAGTGCCCTAGCGAGTTACATCCCTATTCCTAATTTCAAGGCTTTAATTTCCCACTTTATTGAAAATGAGGTGAGGAGTCTAGGCTCTATTATGTCCAAGATCATATTTAGCAGTTTATTTAAGGATTCAAATAGAGTTTTTCTAACTTTAAACTCTGTAAACAATGTCAAGTGTGAAGTACCCTTTCAGAAAAATTAATATTTATCAGAGTTTACAAGTACAAACTCCTCCAAGCCTATTAATCTCGTTATTAATTTATAAGGGAATTAGATTACAATCTGATCTCTATCAAGTCTACTTGAACTCTGAAACTGTTTATCTACTTACGAACAGCTGACAACTTAATGGGTTTGTAGATCACTCTTGGCTGTTGTCTTTGCTTACAGAGTACTACTATTCATACAGCCAACCATTAAAACATACATACCAAAGATAACATAGTTGGTACATTTGCAATTATTTATTTTAGAAAAAAACAAAGGTTTACAATTAATGCCCTAAGGCGGGGTATCATGAATTCCATAAGTTATACAGACTTTTAAAAAACTTTATACATTATCCCAAAGTAGAAAATTATTTTTTGCCCATGCTTGGACTCAGACACATTTGGAAAAAATATATATTTGTAAAAATAAAAATGACAAACATAATCCCATCAATTGATAGTCTCAATACTCCTCACTGGTTTAACTGAGCAATTTCTGCATAATAACAATTGAATAATTTTCTTCCCTTGTCCTACCATGTCATATGAATCAACTATGAAACTATTTATCTCTTGTAAAATCAAAACCAAATTAGCCCCAAATCCAAGAAATATCATTAACAATATAAATCCAATGAACACAAACAATACAGGTAAGTGTGTTAACTACTCATATACACCATTAGTTCAGCGTCTAAATATTTGGCATCTTGATGTTATTTACAAACCAGATACCAGAAAGCACTACATTTAAGCAAATGAAAATTTCATCTCTAATATTCCTCAAAGAAGTTGAATAGCTACAAAAATGTTGACACATACAATGAAATGAGAGGACTGTAAGCTAACATATGGTACAAAGCATAACTGATAAAAACAAGTACTTTCTCTGAGAAATACCCTTAAATATTGACTGTGAAATATCCTTAAATATCCTTAAATACCAGACTGAGCAACAATAAGGATCTGGAACTCTGAGTTTTAGAAACTAGAGAACTTTGTTTCAATAAAAAAAGAAAATGGAACTTAATTTTCGTAAAGGATCTCAACATTGACCATGAGCTTCACCACTGCCTTAAAATAATGTTCTTCTAAAACAGAGAGATCTCTGCTTTTATTTTGAAGTAATTTTCCCTGAAAACTGCATTCAGAGTAAAGCTCTGATGGAACACTGAAGGGAAAAGCATAATAATGAACTGTAAAAATGTGTTTGGTGAGCAATCTGACAGTGTAAAAAAATAATAATTCCAAAATAGAAACAATTAAGAAACAAAATTTTAATACAAAACGGAAGAAATAAAATTATTCATTTATAAACCACCTATACATTTTATTTTCCCAAGAAACATACTTTAAAAGTACAAACAGAACATGAGGCAAAAGTACAGAGTTGTGAACAGGTTAACAGGGAACAAGGGATTCATCTGTTTAAAATGGTATCAAAGAATACAAAGGATGACTGCTGAGTTTCTGTTTATCGAATGCACTGAGGTTTACTTTTTTCCCAATGAAATCTTATTTACAGGTTATGACTGATAAGACAAAATGTGCAAATTAAAAATTGATAAACATGAAGAAAAACATATCAATTGCATTTTCTGTAACTATTTCCTGTTCAAAACCTTGTGTATACTCTTTTCTGTGTATATTTCTCAACATGTGCCCATTAATCTTTTGGTACATGAGTCTTAAGGGAAGAATCTGTATTTCTCCAAGCCTTTTCCTACTGTAAGACAAGCTTGACCACCTGGAACATTAATACCATACTTATCTTCTTCCCAAATCCCTTGTTATTTTTTGGAGAGAAATGTACCTGCTAAATTAACCACATTTACCTTCCAGTTTTCACTTGACTTCTCTGTGCTTCATATTTGTTTCATTAAAATTAATGATGGGAATAGGTCAAATATTAAGAATGGATATTTAATTATTAAATAAAGAATACATGGACATGATAAAATTATTAATTCTTTAGCAATGAAGATATAATAGTTTTAGGATTGTCCTGATTAGGACGGCATCAAAAAGGAACTAAAACCTGCCCTGGGGCAACCAAGCCCTAAATAACTTAAATGTCAGGACATAAATGACCTAATTTTAAAATGACTAAACGTTTTTCAATGTTCAATAAAATTGTTCACAATGGGTGACTAGGTTATTCAAGGCTACCTGAATAGCTACCTGAATAAGTTATCAAATAAAAAGTCTAAACTTATTAATATGAAGTCTAAAAAAAACTCGTAACACAACAAACTGTTCCTTTGATTGGATGTGATGTCTGCCACTTGATGTGCTGATTTATGTATCACTTATCACTCATTATTAGAACAGACATGCTATGGCATTAGTTAACAGAGTGTGATGATAAATTTCCTATGTGTACATAACATACATATTTTGGACTTAATTACTATGAAGTTTTTGTACCATAGACAAAAGTACGATATATACTACTTTTCAAAATGCAAATGCTTTCTTTCATCAAGGGAAATTTTAGAAGAAATGTCAATATATAAAAATGAAACAAACAAAAAAAACTAGGTTGCTCTGGCTAAAGCAAGGTAGAATTAACAGAGATGTTTTCTTCCTGCAATGATCGATGAGATGCCTGGTTAGAGTACTTCAGAGCATGAGCTGAAACCACTGCTCCCAGTACACCCTGCTTACTTTACAAAGGTCAATCACAAAGCTTTTCCCCCAACTATATAGGCCCATATGAAAATTCTATAGTAATGCAATGGAGTATAAAGTTATAAAGTAACATTTTCTCTGTTTTAAAAATAACTAATAAAATAAAGTCACTATGCTATATAAAACCACAATACAGTATTTTAACCTCATAATCTTAATTTGATACATGGAAAAAGTTACAAGTTCTCCTTAAAGTGCCTACATTTTAAAGACTTAATTTTTTCCATCTAAATATTAGCCAAAATATGAGAATGGAAGGCAGTAGGAAGTGGAAGTATTGTTTTTCTGTATCAAACATGAATCTTCTACCTGACTGGCCATTTGAACATTCTGCCTCAAAATATTGACTTTGCCACAGAATATTCAGATAGAGAAACATGCAAATAGAACTAATCTGTTATAATAATACCTACTAGGGAAACCCTGATGGAGTAATTTGGTTTTGTTTGTTTTACACAAACATCATCTCTTTGCTCCAAACACCTCCACATTTATGGAAAGACTACTTTAATCCATGCAGTTATATTAGCAAAATACAAATAACATGTCCTCTTCTGTAAAGATTATAATTAAATCTCTTAAATTCAATAAATAGACTCTGTAATAATTTGTAACCCTATCAAATATTTTATGCTTGTAAAGTCTCAGTCTGTCTTCTTTTCTAATACATCCTTGGGCTCTTGCACAGTAGGCACTAGAGATCCTCCCTCCCTTGGCTCCTGTTGCTCTTTGCTCTCTTCTACCTGTTCTTGACTTTCCATTTCACTTTTAGATACTATTTCGTATCGCTCTTCTATGTAACCTCCATCTGTGTCAGCTGTGTAGATTCCATAGCACATGATACTGATGACACCCAATGGCAAGCCAAAGAGAAAGCAGCCCATAAGCGGTGAGCTCTTGAATATAGACTGTGGAAGGAAAATTAAAATTCAGTTACCATCAAAGTGATTTTGATATAAAAAGCATGCAGTAAATTTAAATTCACTATAGATTTATTATTCTTCTTGCTAATTTTCTTTTAGTTCCGGTGAATAAATGTCAACATATGAGCTATAAATACTACCTTAAAGTCACTGTAAAAGATACAAACTCTACATCCATGTGTGCAGGTGTGTATGTGCACTTGTGTGTATGTGTGTGAGTGTAGATATAGAACCAGCTATTTACAGCAGAAAAAGACAAAATCAACTCTTTTCTAAAGACACTTTTTGTTACTGTGTGCCCAACAGCTTTTGATATGTTTGCAGAAGTATAGGAATCCATTTGTGGAGAAGACTAGGTTATATATACATATTATCTTCACATGGCAGTTTTTACTTGTTAGTAGTGAAGTCCATTAATTGCAATCACTTTCATATACTATTCCCTCAGCTCCTAAAAAAGTAAAAATATTTTTAATTTTATTGAATTAAGTTGTGCCTGTAACTTCTAAAAATAATGGAAGTTAAATTCAGAGGAGAAAAAGACACTGGCTAACAAGGGTATAGCCTGAGACAGAAATTTAGGAATTAGCAAGCAAGAGGTACAACAAGGTATAATGTAAGCACTAGCAATTAGCTCCAGAATTCTAATGCAATACTCAAAGCCAATGAAAAATGTTTCTGGATGGACAGACTGTGCATCACTGGAAAAGCAAAGCAAACCTGGTAATTTTAGTAATGGTAACTGTGTAGTGATATACAGGATCAACTGGAGACCTGGTAAAGAAAAAGTATGCAAACCAGATAACAGCAAGGGCAGCAAGTGTACATGATTTGTGGTAAGGACACAATCCATGTTGTTGGCAAAAGGAACATAAAGAAATAGCACTAATAAGTTGAAGGATTCCTTACATGAGATAAGCCAAAGATTACTATTTACTTCTCATCAATTTAGAAAATCAGGTACATTTTCATGATTGCTTTCAGCCATAAGAAACAAAAATGCAAAAAAAAAAAAAGGGAAAAATGCTGATGGGGGAGCTCATGACAAACAACTGGACTAAGTTAAGGACTCAAATTTAAGAATGTCTCTGCTGTCAAAGTGTTTGGGAGCTGAAGCTAGAGACTAAAAATCATTTCTTAAAATACAGTTCCAATCCTAAAATTAAAAATTCCATATGACTCAGCTATCGCTTTCCTAGGTATCTCCCTCAAAAGTTAAAGAAATCACACTACAGGGATACATGCATACCAATGTTTATAGCAGTACAATTCATAATTGCTAAATCCTGGAACTAGCTTCTGTGTATACATCAAAAGATGACTATATAAAGAAAATGTGGTATCTGTGCATAATGGAATACTAATTGGCTATACAGCAGGACGAATTGGAGACATTCATAGGAAAATGGATGCACCTAGAAAATATAATGTTGAATGAAATACATCAGACACACAAGCTTCAATATCAAATAATATGTCTCATTTGAGTGAGGCAAAGTACAAACAAAGAGCACAATAAAGGATGGACAGAAGGAGACAAGGGGATACATCTCTTGCAAATGGAAAAGGGTCCAAGAGAACGTGGGTGAGGGGAGACAGGGAAAGGAAGGGGAAGTAAGCAGAATAAAGATAAGCCACATACAGGAACCCAATAACCTAAATGAATATAAACATTATGTATGAAACATGAGGTAAGATTAATAATACCAACAAGAAAGAAAATGGGGAAAGGGGGTTTAGAGGAGATAGGAAGGAGATTAAAAAAAGAGTAAAGGTGCATCATGTACATGAGCCTTCAACAAAAATGACCCAATTGGTACTAAAATTTTTCTATGAAGTAAAAAAAAATTAAAAAATTTTCTACTATCTGTACTTTCATCAAATTACAGAATTAAGTAACACTTTTAAACGGAGAGATTAAAGAAATAAAGTTTAAGGTCATAATATCAAGTTAAATGATTCTGAGTTTCAGTTGACCAATTATACAGAAATTGAGAAACAATTTCTACCTGATGAATGTTTTCTTAAAGGGTGATTAGTTCACATCTTTCAAACTAAACAAGTATTTTGACCTAATCCTTTGAAAGTCTAGATCACTCATAATGAACCTACGGTATGCGTGTCATTGTGTCCTTCCTTTAAGACACAAGATGTTAATGTGGAGTTGTTTTTTCTAAACTATAACCTCAGTATTCAGGTTTAACTGCAGTATTGGCACTTTGCAATAAATAAGTGGGTTTTAGATTGCAGTTTGGCACTCAGTCTCCAAAGGATTTGCCATCGCTGGTCTAGATTTTACCATCATTACAATAGACTAAGGAATCTCATACTTTTTAAATTACCAGTGATACTACACAAACTGTCATAACTTACCACAACAGTAGATTTAGCATCAAATACAATTCTTTTCAATCTCTGAAAAATACTATCACCTCCTTGGGCCTTTAATAAGAAAAAGAAATTGTTAAGTATCATCATTTCATTTTTTAAGTTATATAACTTTACTACTGGGGATGAAAAGGTTGACTACAAAGTATTACATAAATAAATAAAAAAACCCATGTTCAACATTTACTATGTTTTTTCCTATCCCACATTTCTTCCACCTTCTTCTGTTAACACATCCTGATTCTCCTCTGATGAAGAAGTCCTTCTCTCCTACTCATAATCCAAGCCGGAAAGAAACTGAGTTGAGGCCTGTACAATTTGTGAGTTTAGCTGAGATGGTTATTGTTTATAGGGACAGTATACTGGATGATCAAAGTTAGCAAGCGTTGAAAGGCAGAGAAAAAACTCCTCATGAAAATCAATCAACTCAGACTTCACTTAAAGCTTGACTCTCCAAGTTATAGGGACTAATAGAATGTCTTTGTTATTAAAACTGAGTCAATTTTTAGTAATTAACAAAAGAGTTCTCAATCATACAGGTGTTTCATCTGAACCAAAATGTTATTTCCACAAATATAAAATTGTCATTATGTGATTAAGAGCACCAGACTTCTTTATTTTGATACTAGGTAGATGGGCTTGTTACTCTTTCAAATAAAGTTGTTACAAATCTGAACCAAAGTCTCATGAACTAATAAATGCCTGTGTGAGTGAGGCAGGAGGACAGCAAGTCTGTGCCTTGTTGGACTACTTAGGGAGAGCCTGTCTCCAAATAAAAAAATAAAAGAAAGCTGGAATGTATGTAGCTCAGTACATTCAGTCCTAAGTACCACACATAAAAAATACAGTTAAACTCTGTGAGTCTCTTATTTTCTTTTTAAACTTTATCTGACTTTACTAAATGAAGACATGTGCCAGTTACACAACTCAGTTGTGACCTGAAGGGACAGCACGACTCTCTTATATAGTTGCAACCCAATTTGAAAAACACTGCTCAAATTTACAAGGACAACAAATAGAAAATGCTATTTGTTCACTTATTTCTGAGAAATATTTAAAGAATTATGACCAAAATATGCAGTGAATGTTTAAATTGTCATTAATGACCCTGAAAATACTAGCCCCTTCCTTAGAACACAAATATCCTATCATTTCTGTCACTTTCTGAAGCACTTCTGGAAGTCCTTTTTTGGATGCCTTTGTGAGGTGTAATCACAAAGGGTGAATGTTGCTGGCATGTCCTGCCCAAGGGAAAGGCATGCTCATAAAAACTTGAAACATGTTCATCCACCTTATTCACTGGATTTGGCCCTGTGTGTCTTCTGGCTCTTTCTCAAAGTAAAAATGACCATGACAGGTATACATTTTCAATCAGTTGAGGAGACTGAGGTAGCTAGGAGAGCTAACTAAAGATACTCATAAAAAATAGAACTTTCAGAACTACTTTAGAAAGTGGCAAGAAAGTGTCACAAAGTGGGATAACTATGTTCAAAGGAAGGTAGAATATTTTGAGGGAGGTTAATGGCAATGTATCCTTTAATGTAATACTTTTTAAAAATTTAATTCCTGTGTCTTCTGGTCACACCTCTTGAATGTTTGGAATTGTCCACCAGGGTTCTCATTCTCAATTTATAACCTGTTTGCAGATTTTTCTAGAAAACCAATCCTGACAACTTAATCCAATGCTTTTATGGACCCAGAAATGTAACAAGTGCTAGGAAAGTTCACGATGGAGATCAGCCCACACAATGTAAGCTTCTTATCCCTACTCAATTCCAAATGCAGTACCACCTCTGCAATCACTTTATCAACCATAAATGCCTTTCAGGAACTCAATAGCAAAACCTTTCGAGTCTGGGAGAAGGCGAGCGTCTACGAGAGGCAGAGCGGTAATGACTACTGCTTTCAGAATCAAGAAGCAACCAGTTTCTTTTTTGTCCTTCCAATCATCCTTCTGAAATGGAAATGTACTACTCACTTCTACTGTGCCATCCAAAATGTTATTAATGAACTGGACCATGTCTTTGGCATTTTTAATTTGTCTGTCTAACAAATAATATTGCTGGTTTGAAGTGTTCAGTACAACCACAGTTGGGACTGTCAATTCACTAAAAACATAAAAACAAAGAAATCAAATATACATTAAATACAGGGATAGCAAAATTCTGACACTTACTTTGCACTGATTTTAAAACTAGTGAGATTATATTAATGAAAACATTCTAATACAGTCAAATAAAATAGCTGAATAATCATGAACTTAAGGATAGAAATCACAGTGTAATGAAGCTTTAATTTTTTAGGCAATATTATTCCTTTTCACAAATCTTTAAATACCCATCACTGTTAATCACACAGAATCCCATCTCAAGTAAAGGGAACAGGAAAGAACACGGTTGTTGGAGTTACCTTGCTTTTGTTTAAACTACGGAAGTAATTTAGCTTCTTACACGTAACAATCTTTCATTTATAAAGAGGACAAAGGCACCTATCTCAGTATAAAAATGCATGAGACAATTCCACTTAAATATCCACTATAGTACCAGATCTACTGTACAAGCTCAATAAATATTACTGCAAGTTCCCTATACATCCACTGTCATACTCCATAGGACACTGTACCCAATGACAGCAAAACATAAAAATATCTTTAATTATGATTAGATTATTCACAATAAATCACATTCTAGGCTATTAAAACACACTCCATCCTAATAATTTAAATAAAGTGTATTCTCTCACCATAATTTTACCCCAATAATTATAGTAACACTAGCAAAGGAAAGTTCGTCTATTACTACACATTTTAAATATCACCTTACTGCTGATTATTGCACCAAAATCGCTTTGGCCTCTTGCAAATGCTGCTTTACTGAACCAGTATACTGACTTACAATGAAAGACATAAGAAATGGTTGCATCAAAGTCCCTATTACATACTTTAAAACTTGTAATAAGAATATATTTTTATTATAGAGTGTCCTTGTTATGAGATTATATAGACTATCCATTTGTCTTAAGGCTTATGGTAGGCCATACACCTACCTTATACATATAGGCAATGTAATTCCAGGGGAGAGGAATTGTGTTAACAATGCTTTTCCCATTTTGAGCATTAAAAATTCATACTCTGTAATCTCAGCAGGGAGACTGGGCAGGTAGATTACAAATTTGAGTTTATAGTGGGTAATTTAGCAACTTAATGAGACCCTGTCTCAAAGTAAGAATTACGAAACTGTGGGGGATGTAACTTAGGAGAAAAATCCTGGGTTCAACCCTCAGTATCATAAAAAAAAAAAAAACAATAAAATAAGGACTCAATATTTTTAATAATTATATAGATATTTCATTTGATTTGCCCCTTTTTTTGACTATTATATATATACTAGATATTGTACTACAAATAACTTAAAATTCTTATTAGAACGAGAGGTAATGCTGGCTTTATATCAAAAATACAAAACTCCTTTTTGAAGCTTCATATATTTCTAATATAGATGCTGTCTGTTGAAATGAATTCTAATATAATTAGTTTTTGGGTTCTGAAAATTTTCTATTTAACAGCTATAACTACCCATTTAAAAAAATTATGAACTACGTATAAACTACAAAATCTGCAAGTTTCTATATGATGTGTTTTCAGAATACTATATATTATCATACTGAATCAGGAGGTAATTCTTAACATAGAACAATATTAAAATTCAGTAAGCTTCAAATGCATCTAAAACTAAAATATAATATTTAATGAGAAAATACCTGCCACAGAATATACCAACTATTTGTTTAACTATTTAATCCCTCTGCCCATCTCTAAGAAACAGATATTCAACAACTGCTAAGAGTTATCAGCAAAATCATTCAGGATTTTACTTACTCCATCAGCAAGGTATTTATGTAGTCGTTTCCATCCATATGCCCAAATTGAAAATCCCTAACAAATCATGGGGACATGGGAAGGAAGAGCACAACATTAAGTTTTAAAAAAGGTAAACAATATAACAAAGTGAACTTCAGGGCTCGGTAAGTTTGTAAGTATTAAACATGTAAATTACATACAACATACAACAATAGATAAAAGTGTAAATTTTACTGTCTTTAAAAAGATACAAATACACAAACGTAGTATTAACAAATTCTACTTCATTTATACACATTTATAATACAGGGAAATAAATGCTTTTACAATAGAAACATGCTTAAGAACCACTACTCAGTTATTAAAAAACAGATTTACTCAAAAGATGCCACCTCTGTGTACCAAAACAACTACACTCTGACTTTTCCTCAAAAGATTTGGAATAAGATAATACTTAAACAATATAACAAACTTATATGACTGTCTTTCATGGCAGCCAGTAAAATACTTTAGCACAAAGCAGAAGTATGCATTTCTAATGCCATTTTTATATTCAGTTATTCTTTGAGTTCTTGTTACAAACATTTATCTCTGACTTCTGATCCTCATTTAACTTAATCTCAATTTTGCAAATAAATTTTTCCCACAAAACTTAACTGGAATCCTATCAAGAAGCAGGAATGATACAAATTATAAATAAAACAGTATATTTTTTTCTCTAACTGGTAAGACCACCAATGAACTTCAAGACCCAGACAATTCATGAGAAGTGCACCATACTAACATGCACTTCATTTCCTCTGATTCGCATTTCAGACCATGACATACATATTGAACATCACTTATCTGAAATGCTTGTGGCAAGTTGTGTTTCAGATTTTAAAAAATTATGCATAAACATAATGAGACATCTTGGGGACAGGATCCAAATCAAAACACGGGACATATTCATGTTTCATAAACAGTAATACACATAGCTCAAAGGTAATTTCATACAATATGTTAAGTGTGCCTGCATTTTGACTGGTACTTGTCCCATGAGATCCAGTGTGAAGTTTCTATTTGTGTCATGTCAGAGCTCAAAAAGCTTTAGATTTCAGAGTATCTGAATTTTAGATTTTCGGATTAGACATTTTCAGATTTTCAGTAGCATGACCTAAACTACTTTTGTTTTATTATAAAATATAACTAAAAGAAATAAAGGAACCTCCCAGAATGCAAGCACATACCTGTGGAAGTGGTCTTTGTAATCTTTAGCAACTTCTTGAATAACTGACTTTAATCTGCAGAATAAACACATAAATATTTCAATTCCTCACTTGGAAAAAGTAGAATTATTCAGTTATAATATATGCTATCTTATCAAAGTGCTGTAGGAAAAAATTCCGTAAGATACCACATCAACTTTATTTAAGTCTGAATTGAACAATTATCTGAAGCTTAAAACTATTTCAAGGCAACTATACCTGGTATGTTCAATGGATGTATTTTTCTCATCAATAACTGCGATAGCCACAAGCTTTCCTGAAATTAAGAATGACATCTAAATTCAATAACCTCATTATATAAACTTTTCTATTATCACTTTTGTTACAAAGATTTAAAAAGTTTCTACAATTTATTACTAGTTGTCCTATTTTTCTACACTTTCTTAAGTCAAGATATCATAATGTATTTTTATAGAGTGAATCAGTGAATTGCTCATCTCCAAGTGGTAATTCCTGTCTTCCACCCCCAATATACAAGTAACAGTAAATTATAACAATTTGGTTTTTTTCTTTCAAACACACAAACTAAGTGTTCTATCAACATTAAAAACAAAAGTAGTAAGAATTAAACTGACTCACATCTCCTTTATCCTAAACAGAACACAACTCATTTGCACTTCTGATATGCTGTTGGGCAGCATGATGGAATAAGCAGAAGAATTTTTTTTTTTTTGAACCGGGAATCGAACTCATGACCTCTGGCTTGCCAGGCAAGTGCTTACGCCGCTGAGCTACATCCCCGGCCCAAGCAGAAGAATTACGTGGGGTCAGAGTGTCATATGATGCACATTATATTCTAGAATATAGACCAAACCGTGGGAGATGAACCATGAAGCACCATCATTTATTAGCTGTGTAATTTAACCTCAGTAAACTCCAATTTATTTAGGAAATGAATACCTATTTCATAGAAAAATGGAGAAAGCTAAATGAAGTTATATGCACAAACATATAGGAGAGAATCTGGCTCAGAGCAGGTACAAAAATATAAGATTAAGTCAACTATATTTCAACAGCATCCCCACATTTTCATGCAGCTTCATCCAATTCTACCCTGCTTGTTAGTACATCTCTAAATTCTGCACTTTACAATGATTTTTTCCCTTCTGAAAATATTTCATTCACTCTTTAGTTTGAATTCATTATGTGGTTCTTCAATTTTCAAACAATCTATGAGTTTTGCTTGCTATTTCCCAGAATGCCTGCAACACGTAGAGCTACAGGGTTCTAAGAAACACAGGCGGTTTTCTTGCATATTAATTTAACAATTCTGGGTGCCAAATAACATGCTGCACACTGGGCCAGTTACAGAGACACAGTGATGAGCTAATGCACATCCAGCTCTGCCCTTGGGAATGAAGAGTCCAGGAGGGGAGAGAGACATTTATATCAGATACATATTAAATTAAAACTAAAAAGAGTTCTGAAAGAAAGAAGCATGGGAAAGGAGGATTTAGAGGAGTGAGGGAGGAGGAAGGAGAGTGGAAGGGGACTAAAAAAGAAACAAGTTGTATTATATACATATACCCACTCCCCAAGATTGGAAATTGTATGTATTGCAAACAGGTACTAATAAAATCAAAGAAAAAGAAAGGAACACACTGCTATATAAGAGTAAGTAGAGTAAGCTAACATAGTTTAAAGGTGTTAATGAAGATTTTCCTAAGGAAGCATTATTTGGTCTGAGTTTAACAAGTGAATTAAATTTAAAGTATCTGCCAGCCAATGCTAAAACAATATATAAAGGTGCTTTGGCATGGGCAGTATAGACACTTTAAACAACTTGATGGTCAGCCTACCTGGAGAATGGGGAATACAGGGAGAGGTCAGAGAAAAATGAGGATGGATTCTTAAACAGCAGTCATGGCATGGAAGCATCTCACAAAGTTGCTGGTAAGTTACCACATGTGAAGCAACACAGAGCTGGAGACCACTATGACACCCGCCTAAGGGCACAGGTTGACAATGAGCAGGGACACAGCCACGGGTAATGGCAGCAAGGGCAATTATGTCAGACATAAAGGGAACACTGTAACAGCAAACTTCTGATTTCAAATTAATCTGGGGAAAGAAATTGAGTGTGGCCTATGATGACTATTTCAATTATCTTGAGGTTGTGCTATCTCCTATGGTTATATACTAAAGGAAAAAACTTGCATGTCCTTACATTTGTCTTTCTTCCCTTAAACACTCAGAAAACAATTCCACAATCTTTGCCAGTACCATGTCAACTTCCACTAGAGAACCAAGACTCAGCTCATTAGACACAGAATGTCAAAAGTCAGCTCATGAACCAGAACAAATGCAAATCTAAGATAAGAGCTCCTATTAATTATTTTGTTATGTTTTTATTGTTTAAAATAAAAATAATAAATATTCACAGCATTTTTCAGTCAAACATGTAGGAACATTGCTAATGTATACATGCTGTAAGTTTCAAAAGCAAAAAATCATGAAGTGGAAACCATGTCCACTATCTGTCGTAGAACACTAGGAGTCTGGTACAGTTTCCCTTCCTCTACTCTAGAACTTATAACAACATCCACTGTACTCACATTAACACTACAATGGGACATACACATGGTAATAATAACCAGAATTTTGCTATAAATTTATAAAACTTCCTTGCTGGCCAATCTTTTAGAGACCAACTGCCCAAAGTGCAACCCCAAATCCACTTTTCATCTCAAAGTGCCAAGACTGCAATCAAATCTGAATAGGGAAGTTTTGCTTTAGATAAAACAAGTGTTATCTGATGCTTGGCTGCTGCTGCACGTGGACAGAGACGGCTGCTCATGCCCACTGTGGCACACGTGCCATAGGTTCACCCTCAGTGATTTATAACTTCTGCAGTTTACATCAATGAAACCATGTAATTAATTTCTTACAGCTCTCACTTTTATATCTATATTTGCTCTCTCATTTTCAATCATGTAACTTGAAGAAACTACCAACTGATTCATTTTCCCCTCACAAGTAAAAACAGGCCCTCTGAGTGAGAAGCTGCATTTTAATTCCTATTACAAAATCAGCCACAGTGTAGAGCTTCTTGCTGGATAATTTTTTCTCATTCTCTTATTATTAGGGCTCCTTCCCTTCCTTCTCAACAACAGTTCTATTGGTAAATTCTGTCTTCAGCTAAGCTTTGACTCATACACAGAGGTATATTTTTTGGTAATAACATTCTTTGTTCTTATAAAGAACAACTACAATTCAGGTCGCCTTTAATAATGAAATAAGAGCTTAAGATCATTTCCTACAGAAAGAGGGAAGTAATCAATGAAAAATTCTATGAAGTATTAGTTGTACATTTGCTCATTACCTGTGTCTCCAAGTTCATATAAGAGGAAGCCATCCATAGTAAGATAATTCTGAAACCTTTCCCTACTGATCCATGCTGAGAGATCACCATCTTCATATTCTTAAAAACAAAACAAAGTGAATAAATTAGGACTGTAGATGGTTATCATACTTATCATATCAGATGTAAGATATGACTTTAAGATGGTTATCAGATTTTAATGTGGCAATATGTATAAAATACCTAATATAGGATAATAACTTTAAAACCTAAAAATAAAATATTTTATTTTTAGAAATTTATTCTAATTAAGGGGATTACTGTGCGTTACTGTAAACACTCATAGTTTTCTAATGAAATTATGTACTTTAGCATAATTGTAGCCAGCTATGCATTTCAGTAGCTGCACTGGAGGGATACAGAAAGTATTCTTGTGTTCACCCACATGGTATGACAAACGGCAAATTGTGTACACCTGCACAGATGTGTAAAACTGAGTTTTTTGCCTACATAATGCTGTTATTGCATATGTATCCCTGAGCATCATGGGGTGGAGGGTAAAACACACTTACACCATTCTTTTGCTCTGCACACTTCTAATCTGCCATAACGGAATCAGGGTGTAGGCCAGCTGCTGTCCTGGGAAAACCAGGAACCCATCTGTGCATTCATCCACTTGGCAGATGCAAGGCGTGCACAAAGGCTCCAAAGCAGCAACAGGTGATTTTTATCCATGAAATGGTCATTGTTGAATTTCTTATGATTAGTATTTATTTTAAAAAAGCTTTTTCTTTTGGTCTTTCTTATAGAAGTAGCCCAGTTCAGTACAATGACATGTGAAAACCTGGTAGATGTAGCTTATGCAGCATATGCCAATAAAGCCTTCAAAATACAGTATAAAAATATATGCTATGCTAGATGTAAAGACATATACTTCAAATTTAGAAATTTATCCTAAAACTCAACCCCCAGGTCTTTATTCATAGAGTAATAAACCAAACTTTGTTGTTGCTCCCATCTCCCAAACTATTAAGAATGCGACATTCCACAACTGGTTTAATAGTTTCTGATTGATGTTAAGTTGCTAACAGAGCACAAGTTGACCACTGTAGGAACTATACACAAGAACAAAGCAGAAATTCCCAGGGAAATGCTGCAATTTCAAAACAGAATTGTATACTGCAATCTTTGGACCTCAAAAGATGTAACATTGGCCTCATACATTGCAAAGAAAAACGAACTGGTACTGCTGATGTCAACACTGCATCATGATGGAAAAACTGACAGAAACCTTGGCAAAACTAAAGACTGAGGGGCTGGGGATTTAGCTCAGCGGCAAAGCGCCTGCCTGGCAAGCGCAAGGTCATGAGTTCGGTTCCCGGTACCAGAGAAAAACCAAAAAAAAACTAAAGACTGAAACGGTAACATTTTACAACAAAACCTAAGGTGGAGTAGATGTTGTTGATGAGTTATGCAGCAACTATGGTATCACTCGAAACACAAAGCACTGGCCAACGGTTGTGGTTTACCTGATCCTAAACGCATGGCATGAATAGTTTTGACAGTTTACAAATGAAATAACAAGTGCAAAATATTATAGAGAAATTTTCTTAGAGGATTCGGACTAACACTCTTATAAGAGATGGTTTACAACAGACGAAAAACAAAATGTTTCTACCCAGAGAACTAGGCCAAAAAACTGTGGAGCACACTGGTGAGCTCACAGGTCAATGGCAGGCTCAGCATCACAAAGACCTACTATAACAGGAAAACCAAAAAGATGTCAGCTGTGACCTAAAAAAAAAAAGACAGGAAAACAAAACATATTGCTATCAGTGTAACCAATACTCATGTATGGTTCATGCAGTTTTCATATGTGAAGACTGCCTTGGATGTGACAGTTGAAGACTATTTCTCTAGTTGACTTTTCTTTGTATTTACACTGTGGATTACATAGGTATTTATCTGCGATATTTCTCTTAGGTTTTGTAAGCAAGTATGTAGCTGATGGGGAAATGTTGATGTCTATTCTAAACACTCAATACATGTTAGATATACTATTTTATTGACATCTTATTCCCCCGCTAGGTACACATTGTACAATACAGTAAGAAGCTCCTGACGAAACAGCAAGACCAGTGAGATGTCAAGTTTGTTTTGTAAGCAAGTACATAGCTGACATAGAAATGTTTATTATAAATGTGTGTCTCAGTTACTTTTCTCTCATTGCTGAGACAAAATATATGATTCCCAAACTCCTAAGATTTACTTAGCTCACAGTGTGCATAGGTTTCAGTCCATAATTGGCTGGCTCCAAAGCAGGGTGGCTTGGCAGAGAATAGTTCATAATGCCCACAAGACAGCAAAAGCAAAAACAGACCGAGACAAGCCTCCTTCTGTTCTTATACTGCATCCGGTCTACTGGGACTAGGGACTGATCCAGCAATAATCCACCCTTACTCATACCATCCTTAATTCTAGCACTGCATCATGAATCAATCACACACTAGATTCAGGCACCTCTGAAAAAATGCCATCTCAAACTGTGTAAGGCTTTAAGGGGAATCTAGACACAAACCATAATGTGCAATATATATTAAGAATTTAATACTTTATTGATATTCTATATTCTTGTTAACTACACATTGTATAATACACTCCTGACAAAAGAGGAAGACCAGAGAGATGTTAAGTATGTCCTACAAGTCAGGAAAGCTCAGCACATGTGCTGTCAATGTAAGCCATACATATGTACTGAATGTGCTATTGTCATGGGTGAAGACTGCCTTAGTTATGATAATTGAATTAAAGATTTTTTTTTGAAGAGTGTTATTGGCATTTTCATTGTAGCTCATAGAGGAATTTACTTGTTATTTTTTAGACTTTGTAACCCAAAAAACAGTTGATGTTGAAAATTTTAATGCTGTTTTAATAACAGTCAATAAATATTAAAAATTCAATGCTTTCTTTTTGCATTGAACAGGAAAAATATTTTTCCTGTTCAGTACCACTTGCTTAATATAAAACTCAAAAAATTAAAATTAGTAATACATCAATAGAAATACTTCTAAAGAATACACGTGGATTTTGTATACCCTTCTGTATGCTCCTTCAACACAAAATTGTCTTGACACTCCAAATAAGCAAAGATGTACATAAGAATTCATGTGTAAAGCAAATTTTCACAACATCACTAAAAGTAGCAAAAAATATGAAAGAATATAACTGAAATGTCCTAAGAAAAAAGAGATTTTGATACAAGTTCAAAAGATAATTTATAAATTTTTTTAAAAATTGTAAGAAATAATTAAATTGCAATACAATCCATATTATAGTATGAATGTAACTTTGTAAAAATTAAAGTGTGAAAAAGTAGTGATAATATAATAAAATGAAAGCATTCATTCTTTTTTTTTTTTTTGGTTTTTCTCTGGGACCGGGAACCAAACTCACGACCTTGTGCTTGCCAGGCAGGCGCTTTTGCCGCTGAGCTAAATCCCCAGCTCCGAAAGCATTCATTCTTTAATAGCTAAATCAGATTGATGGTTTCACCTGGATAACTGGTAAAATGGGTATTTATTATATCTTTGTTTTTTTCTATTTTATGACTTTTTTCCTTAGTCTATGTTATAGATTACATCTAGATATACCCCCAATCCCTCATACATTCAGGCAGGGCTTTTGGAAGGTGACTGGATCATGGGAGCATGATAATGACCAGAGTTGGCCCACTGATGAGTTTATAGCTGTGATATGGAAGGTAAAAGTTGGCTGGAGGAGTTAGGTCACTGGAAGCACAGCCTGGAAGGGTATATTTCCCACTCTCCTCTTTTGGTTGATCTTTGCTTTCTGTCCAACATGCCTCAACCTGTATCTTCTCCATCAAGCCCCTCTGCCATGCAGGCTTGCCTTGGAGTCATCCAGCTATAGATTGAAACATCTACACATTGTTTGCCAAAATCAAATACCTCTTCTTTAACTTATGGATTGTCAGATATTTTGTCCAGCAATAAGAAAGATAACTAAAACAGTTTACAATGTTTTCTGCTATGTACAACTTAATCACACATATAAAGCCATAGTACATCAGTTTTTTTTCTTTTTTTTTTTTGTTTTTCTCCGGTACCGGGAACCGAACTCACGACCTTGCGCTTGCCAGGCACGCGCTTTGCCACTGAGCTGAATCCCCAGCCCCCTAAAGCCATAGTACATCAGTTTTTTTCAAAATCAAAACTTTCCTTGGCTAAGCACCCAGAAAATATATTTAAAAGAAATACCTTGATTACAAATACAATGTTCAAATAATTTTAAAAGTTACTGAGTTGCATGAAAAAGAAGCCAATGTAAAATCAATGTTTTAAAGACGTACAAATATGTCTGGTTCAAGACTGGACTACACTGACTTCTTCCTTTCTTGCTAGTATATGTTTGCAATACACAGTGATTCTGGGAAGCTGGTACATACACTTAACACATCCAGATTTTCTGAAAGACAAGATTTCTCTCTCACTTGCAATGCTAAGCAAAACTTTTCACGTTATCAAGCCTATAAAATAAGTAATGTAATGCAAATCTTAAAAGTATTTATGGAATTTGACTTTTAAATTAGAAAAATAAACCTAAAACTAGATTAAATTGATTAACTGGCCAAAAGATTCATACGATGTCAAAAGCAAGTCTTCTAAAGGTTACACAAAGTGACAAACTTTAAACTCATCCTGTACCTTTATCCAAATGTTTCCAAAATTATCAACAACAATTTAAGTGTTAAAAGAAACAATCAAAGTAAAAAGCCTTTGGTCTGTGAAAACTTCACGCAGGCTCTAAATACTGCCTACTGCATGTTAGAAAAGTTGGCCTTAAAATAACTAAAGAATATTATGTTTTACTCCTATCTCAAGCACTGGAGACCACATTTGAAACATGGAGAGATGGGGCACTTTTACAGGTAGGATCAAAGGAAACATTTAAATCTAAATAGGTGTGACAATGTTTCTCGAAAAAAACACAGCGGCTGTTGTGAAACTGTAGTAAGAGAGCACCACTGACTAAACATTTTAACTTGAAAAAGAAGTCTTTACTGTTTTTTTCTTATAAAACAGAATTCAGATCTTAAAGGATCATTTTAATGATCAAATAATATATACTAAGTGCTTATCATACGAGTATGGAATCAAAGAGCAGATGGATTACTTCTACAGCGGTAGATGGATTGCTTTCCTTACTTTTATACACCCAAGATACTTTTGAGATCTTTCTAGAACCCAATGTCTAATATAGACATTCAACAAACATCCCATGCATGAATGACTGAATGAACAAATGAGTAAACCTGCTATTTTATTAATCATGACTCCTTATGTAAACTATTGTCATCTCCTTTATAAAAACTGAGAGCATTTCCCTCTCTGCCTTATTATTTCTCTCAGATTACTGTGAGGATATGACAATGTGAAGTACACAGTAGACCTGCTAGATAATGCGTATAAAATGTAGTTACTGATCTGTGTCATGAAATTAACTTTGGTTCAAATATTTAAAGACCATAATTAGAAATGCTTATTTTTTAACAATTGAGTGTCAAAATAAAAAGCTTCTTTTTACTAAAATAAAACAATCAAAACGTTCTTCCTACAACAAAGCAATCAAATGTTCTTCTGTTCATCTGATTTAAGTAATTCAAAGTTAACGTCTCTCAACTAGTTCCTGTATCCTTTCTGTTATATGGAATTCATGGAGAATTGTACTCTAGAATATTCCTGCAGTGAATGAACATTCCCCATCTGCACTCTGCAACAGGGTAACAATAACCCACAACACTGGCTAGTGAGAATTATAGCAAGATATTAGACATTTTACTAACCTGCAACTTCAAATGTTATTATAACTGATGCTAGGAGACTGCACTCACTCTCACTACCTTTTGAGTGACTGTGTGGTGTCCAACAGATGTCAAGTGCCACTGGATCCTTTGAAACTTAAAATATTTCCTGGTGTCCCTGAGTTTGCTGCACTCCCCTGGGGTACAGTCTGGGAATCAGTAGAGTAGGTATTTGAAGATGTTAGGGAATTATCTTAGGTGTTAATACAGATTATGGTTATCTAAAAAATAAAGTCCATATTTTTTTCTTTTGGTACTGGGAATTGAACTCGGAATGTTGTGCTTGCCAGGCAGGCACAATTCCACTGAGCTGTATTCCTGGCCCTAAAGTCCACATTCTGAAAGAGAGTTATGATGAAGCACATACTGGCAGAGACAAATACCATGAAATTTGCTTAAAACTATTTCAAAAAAAGGGAAAAGCAAATGAGGTTAAGACTTTGGTAACTGCTTAACCTTTGTGATAGACATATGGGTTTTACTATGTTATTCTCTTTATGATATATATTTGTTATCAAAAAAAAAATTTAAATGATCAAGTACTTGCTTCAGTGCACTGGCTTCTGACAGGGACAAAGAGCTGCAGCTAGGAAGAATAGATCAGGCTCACACTATTCAATGCGTTTTATTCATCATTTAGGGAATCCAAACTGTCAAATATCTACTTAGAATTAATTCTAAATATTTGAAGATAATGTATAACTCACAAATTACACTCAAAAAGGCAAATAATTTGACAAAAAAAAAAAAAAAACAGAATGAAAGTATACTAGACTAAAACTGAAGGGTAAAAAAAACCTCAGTCACTCAAGAGAGGAAAACTGTAAACAGTAGTAACACTTAAAAAAATCTTTTATCCGT